GGGTTTCTGTACTTTTACTGTATAGTAACTGGCCTTCTCGGCCACACTAGACGCTGTTCCAAGTCCTCCATACAGAGCACGTTACCATAGTCTCTCGAGACTGAAGGATGCCTACACACTGTCTAGTTAAAAAAGGTTAGACCACATCTAACCTTTCTGTTTAATCCATCGATCAAATCTAATCAACATGATTCAAGAGGTGTGCAGATTTGTAGTTTGTTTTTAACTGCAACACAATTGTACAAAAACACAATTCTTCACACCTCTAATTCAAAAAGTGTTTATAAATATACTAAGGCAAGAATCCTGTTCTAAAAGACCATGTATACAACAATACTTTTGCAAGCTGTTCTCTCCTCTTTTGCAGGATGTGCTCACAACCAAAATTCTCTAAGAATTCCGCAGACAGAATTCTGGGAGTTGCAGCCTACAAACACACTCCTACAGACTCCTCTGGTTGGTTCACCTGGAGTAGGGCCTACCTCCGAGGCTACACCGCCTTTGGAGTCTTTTGCATCCTGTTGTTTGTGTAAAAAAAAAAGGAAGCGGCCACAGTGCTTCCTGGGAGTTGTAGTTCTTTGGGAGGCGTCCTCTATAGGACCTCATGGGCAGCAAGACTTTGATTCCCAGGAAGCACTGTGGCAGCTTGTTTTTTTAAAAACCATTAACAACAGGAAATGATCATCGACAAGGCCATGCAGGCTCAGAGGTAGGCCCTGGTCCAGGTGAACAAACTCTAGGTGTCTGTAGCTGTATATTTGTAGACTGGAACTCCCAGAATTCTGTTTGGGGAATTCTGGGAGCTGAGCCCAAAATAAATGAAAAAGCACCATCCTAGCATCCATCATTTACATACAGGTTGCAAAATCTGGTCCCAGCTGGTTTTGAAATCAATCCATAACTAGTTGTGCAACAGAGCACCCCACCCAGAGGGGAAAATTACTTGCATGATGATTGGTGCATGTGCAACATTTCTTCTTAAAATGCTGCCCTGCCCATTCCTAACGGAGCATCTCTCCCCGAGATTGTCCACCGGGGCCACCAGACCAGCCAGATGTCGTGTTTGTCGGTGGCCACCCCAAGAGAGGCTTGGAAAACTACCGCCAGGAATCAGACCTTCTCGGTGGTGGCCACAAGGCTATGGAATACATTACCCGCAGATACATGCCAGGCCCCCTCCCGCTTGTCCTTCCAAAAACGGGTTAAAGCCATGCTGTTCAAGGAGGCCTTTGGAAATACCGCGGGGTTAAAACCATACTGTTCAAGGAGGCCTTTGGAAATACCGCGCCCCTCTATCGTCTTCGTGGCCCATGTACTGAGCCGATCTTGATTTCAATCTTTGTGGCCCATGTCCTGAGCCGATCTTGATTTCAAGTTGCTATTCAGGTTTCTTGTCTCTTCATTTGGTTTTTTTAATGTTTCTTGGTTCTCTGTTTATGTCTTTGTGGCTGGCATTGGGTTGTGGTACTTTAATTGTTGTTAGCCGCCCAGAGCAGTGCCCCAGCACTAGATGGGCGGGATATGAATGCATGAATGCATGAATGCATGAATGAATGAATGCCAGGAGAGGCAAGTTTTCTTAAAGTGGGAGAGAAGGTGGGGCAACCTAGACACATCCCTTTGTCAATGTTAAGTGTTTGGAACATTTGAAAGCTGCTCCTGTAACCTTATTGATTATGCAACATGGGGGGGGGAACTGATATAGAATCTGAGATCCAACCTCTTTCCATTCTGTGTGGACCGTTCACCTGAATGGTTAATGCAGGCTTTGGATGCTTCTGCTTTCCAATTGTCTTTGTGGGTGGTATTGGGTTATGACACTTTGTTAGCCGCCTAGAGTAGTGCCCTATCACTAGACGGGTGGGATATAAATGGAATGGATGAATGGGGGGGGGAAACGGACAGACGGACGGACGGACGGACAGACAGACAGATATAGATAGATATAGACAGACGGACGGACGGACAGGCTGGGACTCAGCTCCCCCTTTATCCTCCAGGTACTCATTGGGAGAAAAGTGGACTAAGTCTGGGACTCGGCTCCCCCTTTATCCCCCAGGTACTCATTGGGAGAAAAGTGGACTATAAAGGCAGCAAACCGTCATCGCTCTGATATGTGAGACAGGAATCCATATGGCTGTGAAGTCACCTCTTGAGGTCATGTAACTATTTTAAACAGACACACACACACAAACCCTGCTCCTCGCACTGAAAACACGTCTACTTTTACACATCAGGCTGTAAACAATTGCTAAATTTAGGGCAGTGGGAGAAATCCAAACCCCAACCTTAAGGGCAGGGTGTGTGTGTGGTTTTTTTGACACCATCATTCAGGTGGCTACGCTGAAGACAGAGGCACTGTAAACAAGCTGGACTGAAGGACGGGAGCAATGTGGATCTGTGTGGCAGGCAGTGCGGCGTAGCAATTAGATTTTTGAACTGGCGTTTCAGGATCTTATCGCTACCATCCAAACCAGGGCTTTGCAACACATTTCAATTCAATCTGGAGCAATTTGTACTCATTGGAGTCTACTTATTCCCCAGATCACAGCTGGTTTAAAGTGCACCCCCTCATTGGATTGTGTCTGAAAGCCTCTGTGCTGCAAGGTCGGAAGACCAGCCGTCGTAAGATCGAATCCACGCGGAGGGAGCTCCCGTTGCTCGTCCCAGCTCCTCGCCAACCTAGCAGTTCGAAAGCATGCAAAGGCAAGTAGATAAATAGGTACCACCTCAGTGGGGAGGTCACAGCGTTCTGTGTCTAGTCACGCTGGCCACGTGACCACAGAAACTGTCTATGGACAAACGCTGGCTCTACGGCTTGGAGACGGGGATGAGCACCATGCCCTAGAGTCAGACACGACTGGACTAAATGTCATGGGGAACCTTTACCTGTGCAAGCAGAAAACCCTCATTACTGTGAAGAGGGTGCTTTCTGGCCTGTGGGACTGAAAGCCCTTTACCTGTGCGAGCAGAAAACCCTCATTACTGTGAAGGGGGTGCTTTCTGGCCTGTGGGACTGAAAGCCAGAAATCGAGGGACATGCATCGTTCAGAGGCAGTTTCATCCTCCAAATGGGCGACAAGACTTTTGCTTTTACTTTTGCTGGGGGGATCCAGTGAATTGTAAGGTGTGCAGCAAAGATCGGAAGAAGGGACGCTGGAGGTGCGAGCAGAAAACCCTCATTACTGTGAAGGGGGTGCTTTCTGGCCTGTGGGACTGAAAGCCAGAAATCGAGGGACATGCATCGTTCAGAGGCAGTTTCATCCTCCAAATGGGCGACAAGACTTTTGCTTTTACTTTTGCTGGGGGGATCCAGTGAATTGTAAGGTGTGCAGCAAAGATCGGAAGAAGGGACGCTGGAGGAGCAGTAGAATAATCACTGTCTCTGCTAATCATGTCAGAGCTTTACCTCTCCAGACCAAAGCTCTGCTTCACCATCAATCAGCAGGGGTGACAAGACCAGCTTCCTCTCCCGTCAGGCTTCCTCTCTGAGCTTGGCTCAGCCACCTATTACTTACTTAAGCTAGCTTGGATTTCCACGTTGACATTTGCCTTTGGGTGCTCAACGGGAACGTCATTAGGGACTGAAGGAGAAAGGAGACTCCCCTCTCTATATTGCCATGCTGTTTTTTACCTGTCATTCACATACTTGTTGGGTTAGATGTGCCTTTTGAAACAAAGGTTTCAGGCAGCTCCATCCATCCATCCATCCATCCATCCATCCATCCATCCATCCATCCATCCATCCATCCATCCATCCCATCCATCCATCCATCCATCCATCCATCCATCCATCCATCCATCAATCTGAAGATAGAAACTAGTCAAAAGCTTCATAGCTTCCCGTAAACTAGAGCTTTCTAGCTTATTTACTGATTTGATTCACATTCCCCTGAAGGCTTTGAGAGTAGAATACAGTTGTGCCCCGCTTAACGATTACCCCGCATTACGATGAACGCTTCACAACGATGTTTTTGCTATTCCAATTGCGAATGCAATGCAAAACGATGTTTTAAATGGGTTTTTTTTTCGCTTTGCGAAGATCGGTTCCCTGCTTCAGGAACCGATTCTTCGCATTACGACGATCACAACAGCTGATAGTGGGGTTTTCAAAATGGCCATTGGGTGCTCAAAATGGCTCCCCGCTGTGCTTAGGGACGGATTCATCGCTATAAAGGCACCAAAAATGGCTGCCGTATGGAGGATCTTCACTGGACGGTGAGGTTTTAGCCCATTGGAATGCATTAACCGGGTTTTAATGCGTTTCAGTGGGTTTTTTATTTTCGCTTTACGACGTTTTCACTCTACAGCAATTTCGCTGGAACGGATTAATGTCGTTAAGCGAGGCACCACTGTACCTTTTTTTCATCCTTAAATGGCACACTATCTGGAAGCTTTTACCTCCCAATTCCTAATTTAGCAGGTGTCTACTTTCTACCTGTTAACACAAAGCTCCGTATGTTTAGGATGTTGCCGAGCACAGCCACAGCGGCCTTCCAACCGTACAACGCCCTGGGCATTTGGCTTCCACTCTAGGGATGCAGATTCCATGAAATGCTTGGGGGGGGAGGTGAATATACAGCTCAGATTACAGGCCATGCCGGAGAAGCATTTGGGGTGGGAACAGTAGACACCTCCTAATTCAAGCAAGTGTTGAGAGCTGGACCTGATTTAGCACCTACACAATGACTGAAAACACAGAGTAGTCAATCGAAACCAGCTGAAAAGGCAGGGAAGCTTCACAGAAGTACATTCTTTTTTCATTTTCAACCACCGACAATTAACAGAGGACGTAACTGATGGGTTAACAAAGATCTCTACGGGCAAACATTTTTTTTGTGAAATTCTTGGGGTGGTCAACGCTAACCCAAAGAAGTTCAACGCTTCAAGGACCACCGCGGAGTGTTCCATTCCTTCACTTCAGTCCGGATGGACGACAATCCAGCCACAGAGTCCCCCACGCAAGTCTCGATGCAATGAACGACAACAGCACAAGGGTGTAGTGGATATTACAACATTTATTGAGATAGAAAAGGCACTTACAAGACCAGGGCAGGGAGAGCAAGGACCTCCAAAGAAAGCACCCGAAGTGCGATCCAAAATCAAGTTACACAAAAGAGAAACAGCCTTCACCCAAACAGGAAGTACAGCCTTTCCTGTTAACGATACAGTACATGAAAGTAAGCTACAATCGACCAGCTAGAGGTTAAAATGCTTAGAAGAGCTTTATTTTTTTTATATAAAAAGATTAAAATGTCTCAATCGTTTTAAAAAAAAGAAACGAAAAGGATCTGTTGAACGCACAACTGCAAAAGGAAATCACGAGTTAGTGGTTCTTCTGAAAGTTCAAGCCTCTCAGTTTTTGCTCTGCAAGAGGTCCTGGTACATTTCGATGAGATGAGCCGCCTCTCTCTGGCCGGAAAGCAGAGCACCATGGGTGGTGGAATAATACTTCCTGTGAGTGGCCTCGCCCGAAAACATCACCTGCATAGGCTGGGAGAGGGATACACAGGAAAAGAAGCCTCAGAAAGGAATAAAGGAATATATATATATGAACATCAGACATGGTACTGGAATGAAAACAGCCCAAATCTGGGTGTGGGCAATAGGTGACTCCCCAAATCAAAACTCGCACGTTCTGGCACACGGAGGGTGGGGAGAGAGATGGTACCCCTGTGTGGGGCGTCTAAGCCTCTATAGCCTCAATTCTTAAAATCAAAAAAGCAACCAGACAAAAGTACCCTCATCTTGTGACATTTAGGAAGCACGGAGAAGCAATTCTGCCACGATCTGAGCGTTCCAATCAACGCACCTCCATAGAATTCTACACTTTTTGCAGACTGCACAGTACAAGAGGCCTTTCTCGGGAAACTTTTTAAAAAGACGTGGGAATACACGAGGGGGCGAGTGGACCAGACTTATGGGAAAGGCAGTAGAGGGATGCATGGATGCCCACGGGCTCTCCAGCTGCGCACTACATGGACAAACTTGCACTTCATTGTGCATGTTTGCAAGATGCACCACGATACAGTCTTCTCTCGAGATGAGCTTTCCAGACTCTCCATTCTGGGAGTTCTACCTAGCTTACAGGCACTTTGTAAACATCTAAATGTGAGACACTGGAGGTAAAGGTAAAGGTTTCCCTTGACATTCGTTCAGTCACTCTAGGGGAGGGGTGCTCATGTCCGTCTCCAAGCCGTAGAGCCAGCGTGTGTCCGAAGACAATCTTCCATGGTCACGTGGCCAGCGCGACTAGACACAGAACGCCATGACCTTCCCACCGAGGGGGTACCTATTTATCTACTTGCATTTTTTACATGCTTTCGAATGGCTAGATTGGCAGGAGCTGGGACAAGCGATGGGAGCTCCCTCCATCGTGAGGATTCGATCTTACAACGGCAGGTCTTCTGACCTCGCAGCACAGAGGCTTCTGTGGTATAACCCACAGCGTCACCACATCCCCTGGAAGAAAGGCCTAAATTGAAAGCATCTGAGGCTTAGCTCGGCTAAGCCTAGCTTTCTGTTCCTGCCCCAATGCTAGCTGGGACCTGAGCAGGATACTCGGGTAGAGCCTTGTCTAGCCTCAAAGCCTTCCAATTCAGACTTTTCTGCAAAGTTCGTCACACAGAGGTGTTTGCAAAGTGCCTGTGCGGGAGGTAGAACTCCCAGAATGGAGAATGATGATATTTGTAGCCCAGAAAATCCAAAATTCTCAGCCCCCATCTTCTAGACAGCTCAACAAAAACCCAGTGCCTGCACATTGCACAATACTGTCTTTGATGGATGACAACGCATTTTCCAAGACTTGAGAAAGTTCAGCCCAGACTACCTTAAAATTATTTTCAGAATTCTGCCTTCTGTGCCAGTTTCACAGAAACATTTCTTTTGCTCTACATGGGCTGTTTGGGGCTCATTTCCAAGTAATACTTACAACCGTCTTGGAACTGTCGGTATAAGGCAGTGGCTTTGCAAGTTTCTCTACGTCTGCTCCGCTAGACCCCACTTGCGTGTAAGAATATGAGCCACGGAAATAAGGATTGCTCCCCCACGAGGAGCGTAGGATCCGCCGAGGTTTTGGAATGTCTGGATTCCCTAAAGCGAAAGGGAGACAAGAGGCGCTGTTAGTGGAGGAATGATCCACGGTGAAAGGCCAGAAAATGGCGCAGCTCAAGTCGCCAGAAGCCCTGTTAGGAGCACACGAAGCAGCCTTGCTTCAGGTTGTGTTGACAATGATATCAACACAATGGGTTAGCAATGATGCTAACCCATCAAAGGGCTCCTCAATAGTAGAAAAACCCATGCTACCTTGGCACCTCAATAAAGTAGCCTAAAGCCAACTGTTAGTTCCAACTCAAGCAGATCCGTTGAATCCATGGTGTCAATAAGTGTTGACTTATTGTTGAACAATAAGGAATGAGTTCTCAATCATCCCAGAGTGCAGGACCTGTAACAATGGGCTCAAGTTACAGGAAGCCAGATTTTGATTGAATATCAAGAAAAACTTTCTAATTGTTAGAGCAGTACAACATCGCAACTAATTAGCTTGAGAGGTGGTAAGCGCTCCAACCCTGGAGGCATTCAAGAGAAATTTAGACAACTACTTGGCAGGTATCCTTTGATTTGTATTCCTGCCTTGAGCGGGGGGGTGGACTTGATGGCCTTAGAGGCCCCTTCCAACGCCACTATTCTATGATTCTATGAAATGATTGAACATGTCCACTCTAGTTAGGACTAGCAAACAAATTTAGGCTCAAATAATAATAGTAATTATACGCTGCCACTTCAATTCCAACATACAGTACAATGACTCTCATAGGGTTTCCTAGGTTAAAAAGTACTCAGAAGCGGTTTCCTAGTCCTCTTTCCAGTGGCTTTCTGGGACAGTGCAGCTTGCCTAAAGCTGCACAGAGGGCAAGGAAAGTAACTCTACAAGCCACACAGACTTGTTCTGGGTAATCTTGGCTGGTTCCTCTCCCCACTGGTACACGGGGGATTCAAATTCTCAGACCCTGGCTCAACAGACATGTATTCCGATCTATAACAACTTTATTTAGCCTGATATCCCCTGCGTTTAATAGGTACTAGAAATGTTATACTAGTCCATTTGTAAGCTGCCAAGCAATGCATGCTCTGGAGACATATCGGAACGGCTGGACAGCTCAGTGGTTTAGGTCTCGGGCTAAATGCATGCTCTGGAGACATATCGGAATGGCTGGACAGCTCAGTGGTTTAGGTCTCTGACTGTAGAACCAGAAGTTGGGAGTTTGATTCCCCACTGTGCTAATTTGACAGGGGCTCAATGATCCGGAGAATCCCTTCCAGCTCTGTAGTTCTAAGAAGATAATCCCTTCCAGCTCTGTAGTTCTAAGATTCCATCTACGGGAGAAGAAGTGGGAACACAGCAAACCATTTATAGGGATTCCTAGAACTGCATGCAGATTCTCCATGTAAGAGCTTCAAAAAGTTACTTTTGGGGACTGCAATTCCCAGAATACCCCAACCAACACAGCCAGGGAACATCTGATAGCTGGGACATTCTGGGGCTTGTCGTTTTTAAAATGTAAACTCTGCTCCATACTGCTGAGGAGCACTGACATTCAGGCGAGGACTGACATTCAGATACTCCCAAGTAAGACAACAGATGTGCATCTCTCACATGAAAACTACTACTTCTACTTCTGCCACATTTTTCATGTTCAAAGACTCTGTGATTTTCCAGCTTGAACGGCTTGTCTGATCTAAAGCCAACAAGTTCTGGTTTTGCCAGTTGGAAAAGCTTACGAGGCGCCACTTAAACATCCAGTCGCAAACACACGAGGCCCGATTGCCTGCATAATCAATGTTTACTTTACCTGGTGATATGGTTGGCAAAAGAGATACTAATTCTAGCGGGTCTTTCTGAAGTTATTCTTGGGAAGAAATGCAAGATTTTCTTAGGGTTGTGTACTGATCAAATATATACATGTGGTGAGAAAGCAGAGGACACCATTCTGCTAAAAAAAGAACCCACCAATTTCCAGCTTCTTAAAGACATCTGGCGATATTCCCAAATTAATACAGAAAGAGGCTTGTCAGGAGAAAGCATTGTTCAAGATTTTTGCTCAAGAGCCGTTCTTCTTTGCCCGCTGTTCTCAGAACCAACTGTGTCCCACAACTATGCTAACATGGACATTTCGAACCAGGATTAACATGTCAAGTTGGAAACACAGAAATGGGAAGAAGGAGCCAGCACATGTGGGCGAGGGAATCCTACAGCTGTGAGCTGGGCAGCCTGCAAGATTCCAAGCTGTGGGAATTTCCAAAGGGTAGCCATGAGTGTCCCCTGGACTGCAAGGAGAACAAGGCTGTGGGAATTTCCAGAGGGTAGCCATGAGAGAACAAACCTATCCATTCTGAAGGAAACTAACCCTGAGTGCTTACTGGAAGGACAGATCCTGAAGCTGAGGCTCCAATACTTTGGCCATCTCATGAGAAGAGAAGACTCCCTGGAAAAGACCCTGATGCTGGGAAAGTATGAGGGCAAGAGAAGAAGGGGACGATGGAGGACGAGAGGGTTGGACAGTGTCATTGAAGCAACCAACATGAATTTGACCCAAATGTGGGAGGCAGTGGAAGACAGGGGGCCTGGCGTGCTCTGGTCCATGGGGTCATGAAGAGTCGGACATGACTTAAAGACTAAACAACAACAAAACTCACAGCCACCATAATCATCCCCCATCAGTTCTGAAGTGGCTGCAGAAGGGCAGAACCTGTCAGCAGAGAGCAGTGGGTTGGAGCAGAATCAGCTGCCAATGGCTCTCATTTTTAGAATGATGACTAATCCTTGCTTGGGATTAATTGTTCTTCTTGGGAGGAAAGCAATGACAAACCTCGACAGCATCTTAAAAAGCAGAGACCTCACCTTGATAACAAAAGTCCGCATAGTCAAAGCTATGGTTTTCCAGTAGCAATGCATGGAAGTGAGAGCTGGACCATAAAGAAGGCCAACTGCCGAAGAATAGATGCTTTTGAATTGTGGTGCTGGAGGAAACTCTTGAGAGTTCCCTGGACTGCAAATGGAATAAATCTATCCATTCTGAAGAAAATCAAACCTGAAGGCTCACTGGAAGGACAGATCCTGAAGCTGAGGAGGAGGAGGACGACAGAGGACGAGATGGTTAGACAGTGTCATTGAAGCTACCAACATGAATTTGACCCAACTCCGGGAGGCAGTGGAAGACATGGCCTGGTATGCTCTGGTCCATGGGGTCATGAAGAGTCGAACAAGACTAAACAACTAAACAACAAGCCATGATATCTGTTGTAGCAAAAAAAAAAAAAATCATGTGGCATCTTAAAAGACTAACATGTTTTATTGGGCATAGGTTTTCACAGACTGGGTCCCACTTCATTTCCAGTGGCTTCCATTCTGCTGGGAAAGTCAGCAATGAACTCCTTCCATGGGGAGCTGAGAGCTGTCAGAGGACCAAGTGAGGCTCAAGAAGAGCGCTGAGGACGGAAGGATCTTGATCCAACGAACCAAGAAGGGCAGGGTCTCTTGATTCCTCGCAGCGATTTAAGCTAAAACATCCAGATATTTCACCTGCACACACCTCCACAAGTTCAGAGAAACCCCTCACCATTGTAAAGCTTCAGCTACGTAAAATACTGTCCCGGCTGCCACAGCCGCTCGAAGCAGAGATGAAGTTGGGTCTTTTTAGTGGTGGTGGATCTCTGTGCGGTCTGGTTCCCAGAAAGTCCTTCAGATCTGCTTCCCCACTTAGTTTTTAGAAGGCCGGTCCTTAGACAGCGGACGTTTTCTGAATTCCCACGAAAACCATGAAAGGGAAGTTGGAGGAAGGCTAATTTATTTATTTGATTCATTCATTGATTTAAAATATTTCTCGCACGCCGCCCTTCTTCCCCGAAGGACCTAAAGCGGCTTATAATCACTAAAACAGTATTTAAACGCTAAAACACTAAGTATACATTTTTTTTTAAAAAAAAAAGAAAGAATTAAACAAGTGTTATGCTAAAATAATAAATAAAGCAAGCCGATGCAAAGGGTTTGGAAATTATGAGGTGGGGGGGTTGGATCTGAAACCGTTTTGGGGTGGATTCTCAGAGCTCACTGTGAGGAGAAGGGATGTGAGCTGTATTAATTTATCTTTACATCAACAAGTGTTTTATATGATGGGTGTTTTGACATATATTAATTTTTTTTCTTCTTGTTCATTTTATTTTCTCGCCTCTTTTCATTTTAGCCCTTAAATAGTGAGTGTGAGATGGCCCGAAGTCGGCAGATGGGAGAAGAATAAAGGGAGAGAGAAATAAGGACTCGCTCAAAAATAAACAGCTGTAAAACGTGGCTATTTCAAAAGTCTCCTGGAGGAACAAGGAATTCCTACACTTCTCCCAGGTGAAACTATGCCTATGGCCAGGCTACAACTCCTGTGGCACCTTTATTTAGGAGCCTAACACTCTCATATATGCCCAAGTCATGTACCGCCTCCACCACACCATCCCAGGCAATGCTCCTCCAGGTGGCCACCCTGAGGGAAGCCACGAAATCTTGTACAACACAGAGGGCCATCTTTACAGAATCTTGTACAACACAGAGGGCCATCTTTGTGGTGACCCCCGCCCTCGGGATCCAGTTCCTGACAGAGATGCGCCTGGTCCCCTCCCTCCCAAGGTTTACGAGGCTTTTCAAAATACGGTTTAGCGAAGCCTTCAATGACATCCCTCCTTGATTTTATATCGGATTTGATGCTTCGTGTTCAGGCTTATAGGATAACTGATATTAAACCTCTTGTTTTATATATCGGTTTCATTGGGAAGGAAGGAAGGAAGGAAGGAA